TCTGCCCCGTTCCGTACGCTTTCTCGTGTTTTGTTTCACCTCCGGCCTGCTCATGTGTTGCCTAAGCCGTTCTGGTCCTTGATCAGGGTGCCCTCTTATCTTCTCAGTTTGTGGTAGCCAATTCAGTTCTCATTGATCTGCTCTTTGGTACTGGTGGTAGGTTTGTACGTTTGCAGCCTTTCATAAGAACATAAGAACATAAGAACAAAGGTAACTGCAGAAGGTCTATTGGCCCATACGAGGCAGCTCCTATTTATAACCACCCAATCCCACTCATATACATGTCCAACCCATGCTTGAAACAATCGAGGGACCCCACCTCCACAATGTTACGCGGCAATTGGTTCCACAAATCAACAACCCTGTTACTGAACCAGTATTTACCCAAGTCTTTCCTAAATCAAAACTTATCCAATTTATACCCATTGTTTCGTGTTCTGTCTTGTGTTGATACTTTTAATACCCTATTAATATCCCCTTTGTTATGTCCATTCACCCACTTGTAAACCTCTATCATGTCACCCCTAACTCTTCGCCTTTCCAGTGAATGCAACTTAAGCTTTGTTAATCTTTCTTCATATGAAAGATTTCTAATTTGGGGAATTAACTTAGTCATCCTACGCTGGACACGTTCAAGTGAATTTATATCCATTCTATAATATGGCGACCAAAACTGAACTGCATAATCTAAATGGGGCCTAACTAGAGCAAGATATAGCTTGAGAACCACACCAGGTGTCTTGTTACTAACGCTGCGATTAATAAATCCCAGTGTCCTATTTGCCTTATTACGAACATTTATGCATTGATCCTTTTGTTTTAAATTCTTACTAATCATAACTCCCAGATCCCTTTCGCAATTCGACTTCTCAATCTCAACACCATCTATCTCGTATCTTGTAACCCTATCATCATTACCTAACCTCAGAACTTTACATTTATCAGCATTAAACTGCATCTGCCAATCCTTCGACCATTTCAAAACCCTATCTAGATCAACTTGAAGTGATAGTGAGTCCTCCTCCGAATTAATTTCCCTACCGATTTTCGTATCATCGGGAAATTTGCAAATGTTGCTACTCAAACCTGAATCTAAATCATTTATATATATTATAAACAACAGAGGTCCCAAGACAGAGCCCTGAGGCACCCCACTTACAACATTTTCCCACTCTGACTTGACTCCATTTATACTAACTCTCTGTTTCCTTTGGTATAGCCATGCCCTAATCCAGCTTAATATAGCAACCCCAATACCATGAGACTCTAACTTTTTAATCAGTCTTTCATGTGGCACTGTATCAAAAGCTTTGCTAAAGTCAAGGTACACAACATCGCAATCCTTACCACTATCAACTGCCTCAACAATGCTAGAATAAAAAGATAACAAATTTGTTAAACATGAACGGCCATTTATAAAACCATGTTGCGACTCAATTATTAATTTATGTTTTTCAAGATGAAGACGAATTTTATTTGCTATTATAGATTCGAGTAACTTTCCCACAATAGACGTTAGGCTAATTGGTCGATAGTTAGACGCAAGTGATCTATCTCCTTTCTTAAAAACTGGTATCACATTAGCAACTTTCCAAAACTCTGGTACTCTGCCTGACTCTATTGATTTATTAAATATAGTTGACAGTGGGTCACAAAGCTCCTCTTTGCATTCTTTAAGCACCCTGGCAAACACTTCATCCGGCCCTGGGGATTTGTTTGGTTTGAGTTTTACTATTTGTTTAAGAACATCCTCCCTGGTAGCTGCTAAACTCGTCAACCTGTCCTCGTCCCCACCCACACAGACTTGTTCGGCTGAAGGCATATTGTTAAGTTCCTCTTTAGTAAATACAGATACAAAATATTTATTAAAAATACTACTCATCTCTTCATCACTATTTGTTATTTGACCTGTCTCAGTTTTTAATGGACCTATCCTTTCCCTAGTCTTAGTACGATATAACTGAAAAAACCCTTTAGGATTTGTCTTTGCTTGCCCTGCTATGCGAACATCATGGTTTCTTTTTGCTTTCCTTATCTCTTTTTTAACATTTCTAACCAGTTGTACGAATTCCTGTTCTAAAGTGACCTCCCCATTTTTAATCCTTTTGTACCAAGCTCTCTTTTTACCTATAAGGTTCTTCAAATTCTTTGTTATCCATTTTGGGTCATTAGTATTCGATCTATTCAATTTGTATGGTATACTACGTTCCTGTGCTTTGTTTAGAATATTCTTAAATAAGTTATATATTGAATCCACATCGAAATCCCCATTTACGTCACCTATTGCTGGGTTCATGTCTCGCTCCAAGACCGGCCCCCACCCCATACCCAAGACTTTCCAATCAATTTGACCCAAAAAATTTCTTAGGCTATTAAAATTAGCTTTTCGAAAATCTGGCACTTTAACATAATTTTCTCCTACAGGTCTATTCCATTCTATGCTAAATCTGATTTCTTTGTGATCACTATTCCCTAGCTCACTCCCTATTTCGATGTCATTAATTTGTGTTTCCCTGTTAGTTAACACTAAATCTAAAATATTATTTTCCCGTGTTGGTTCCTTAATGTGTTGCGTAAGAAAGCAATCGTCAATTAATTCTAGAAAATCTTCTGCTTCACTATTCCCTGTTTTGTTCAACCAGTTTATTCCACTAAAATTAAAGTCACCCATGACGTAAATACTGTTAGATCTAGATGCCCTAGATATTTCATCCCATAGATGCTTTGCTTCCATTCTGTCTAAATTTGGTGGCCTATATATAACTCCTATTATAATATTATTTGTTTTTTCGTATAATTCTATCCAAATAGTTTCTGTGTGTGGCTCAGTTTTGATTCCCTCTTTGAGACTACATTTCAAATTGTCCCTAACATATATGGCTACTCCCCCTCCTCGTCTAATATATCTATCTGTGTGAAATAGTTTAAATCCATTTATTTGATATTCAGCTAATAGTTCACTATTTTCTACATTCATCCACGTTTCGGTAAGTGCAATAATATCTATTTTTTCTGTGCAGACAAGAGCATTTAATTCGTTAATTTTATATCTTAGACTTCTACTGTTAGTGTAATATACCCTAAGTGAATTGTTATTTTGAGGCCCTTCTCTTTCCCTGTTCATTTTGCCAATTCCTTTCTCCCACAAACACATACTTTTATTATCTCCTTCCTCCAAATCAATTCCCATACCTCTATCTACTAACAGTTTAAACCCAAACAAACACCTCTAACCACTTCTTCCAACGAGTTCGCAACAGCAACAACCCCAGCTCTCGATAGATGCACCCCATCATGAGCATACATTTCATTTCTTCCATAGAAGTGTTCCCAGTTGTCTATGAAAGATATTGCATTTGATTTGCAATATCTTTCCAGCCGGCAATTGACACCAATTGCCCTCGACATCCATTCATTTCCCACTCCCTTTCTTGGAAGAATGCCACATATGATCGGGATTCCTCCCTTGCTCCTAACTAATTCAATGGCTGTCCTGAATCTCTGTATTAGTTCCTCACTCCTAACTCGTCCAACATCATTACCCCCTGCACTAATACAAATAATGGGTTTGTTCCCATTTCCTGTCATAATATCATTCATGTTTCCAACAATATCACCAATTCCAGCTCCCGGATAGCAAACCCTTTATCTGTTCCCCCTATCTCTGGCACAAAACGTTCTGTCTAAATACCTCACCTGGGAATCTCCCACAACCAAAATTCGCTTCGATTCTCCCTTTTCCTTTCGAGCAGTTTGAGGGACCTGCGCTTCAATGCTCCTCGTTACTTTGTCTTTGCCACCTCGTTGAGTGACTCTCTCAGTCCTTCTGGCGACGGTCAAGACGGCTGCTTTCTGGAGGGGTTCTTGGGTTATTGATGCTTGATTGGTTCGGCCGGGGGTGTGTCCTGTGTTGTCCAGTTGTGCTTTTTTGCAGTTACCTGCGTACTGTGTCTGGGGATGCGCTTTGGGTTGATCTGGTTCCCCTCGTTCCCTGTTTCAGGGCTTGGGTCTCCCTGGTCGTCCGCAGAGTTTTTAAGTCTTCCAGCCTGTGGTCTGTCCTTGCGCCCGTGCTGTTCGGACATTTGCAGCTTTCGCTGCTGTGTTGGTGACGTCTAGAGCTCATTTTGGGCGCAAGGATTTGAGGGTTGCACAGGTTTCTGGCCGCCCGTTCTTTATGCGAGTGTCTGCTCCTGTGTGTTCTTGTTGCCTTGGGTCGCAGGTTGCAGCCTGTTGTCTCGGCTTTGCGTTGCGAAGTTTATGGCAGCTGCCTCCCAGGTCAGCCCTTTCTTTTCCTTCTCTTTGGATATGAAGCTCCAGGGAGCCGTAGGGGCTCCCCACAGAAAACCAGCGTTGAATATAATGAAATGCCATTTTCTGGGTGAGCCCCGGAGGCTCCCTGGCAACCCTCCCTCCCTCCCACTGGTCGGCGTTTTTTTCGAGTTGGTTGAAGCTCAGCTTCCGAACTGATGCTAGGCAGCCGGCATTGTGAGGTCCGGGGCTCCCCCCCTTCCCCTCTCCGGGCGGGGAGGGCTGCGCGGACGATCGGCGCGGCAGTAAAGTTTGATGAACAAATCCACAAGGGCCGTGACGAGGATTCGAACCTTCGTCTAGGAGCATCCCAGATGCAGGTAAAGTTTGATGTTTGCTTGTTTCCTTGGGATTGTAGAAAGTTCCTACCTCTCTGTTCGGTTTTTTGTTTTAGTTTTTTACCATGTAGGGTTTGTTTTGTTATGCCTACCTTTCTGGGTGCTTAACCCCAGTCGATGGCAGATAAGGAAAACACCAACCACAAGGGGATTTTCAGGGCCATTGCTCCCTGAAACCTCTCTGAAGGGGCCAGGTTCTGGCGCTGGTCCCTGGTAAGTCTGAACTCCTTAGCTAATGTCCCGGTCTAATATAACATACATTAGCCTGATAAGCTCCAGGGAGCCTCTGGGGCTCACCCAGAAAATAGTTTCATTACATTCAACGCTGGTTTTTTCTTATTTGGTGCAATACAGAGAGAGAGAGATCCATGTGGTTTGTTGGTGCTGTTCCCAATTTGTATTACAGCAGCCATAGCCCAAAAATTGCTGATGATGGGCAAGACAGCTAGGGAGATATTGTTTGGAAGGTAAGTTTTATTGGTAGTGTGTTGAACTTTGCCCAGATTACTGGTATAATTCATGACTCGGTTAACCCATAAACTGTGCATGGCATACATAGGCGACGCAACCGGGAACTCAGTTTTTCAAACTTGCTCAAATGCTTTCAAAGTTTTTGTGCATAATCTACTAGGCAAATGCTCCAACTTTGTCTAAATGATCACCAACATAACATGAAAGAGAAAATGAAAAATAATTATAAAATTGAATGTTGAAAATTTCAGATTTTCAAGTCAGATTCAAAAATATAAAAATATCACTAATTGTTTCTTTGGTGTTATGCTCTCAGAATAGCATATGATCTTCATTTTTATTAATTTAGAATATAGGTTTTCAGTATAGTTTACTGTAAAAAAATTGTCAATATGGCATTTGAAATATGTGCCAAATTTCGACAAAAAAAATTTAACTCCAAATATTTAGGGTTTATGAAAAATCTATTCTGAATTGATTGTAGAACAGACAGCTGAGCACACAATATGTAAAAATGGTGAAAATCGGTCGAAAACAGGAATTTTAGAAGCCACTCAAAGTTGAAACTCTAGTTTTACAGATATAATACAGTAATAATAATAATAATAATAATAATAATAATAATAATAATAATAATAATAATATTTTTATTATTTTATTCAGGAAAAGTACATTTATAGATGCAGAGTTACAAACATAATGTTGAATTTATTGATAGAACTAGTACATACAATACGTAAAGCCACTAATACGCATAGCGTTACGGGCAAGAAGTTGATTGAAATTGTAATTGTAATTTAATGTAATTGTAATTGAAATTGTAAGTAATTGAAGTTGAAGTTATAGACAGTGAATAAGGTAGTTTTAATTCATTAATTTACTAGTATGTTTTAATAAACATTTTTTGGCATTTGTACTCGCATATGTAAAAGTTGTAGGTCAGTATGTGTTGAAGTCAAGAAAAATACCCCTCCCCCCCCCCAAAAAAAAAAAAAAAAATACTGTATAGGGATAATTATAATTATTATAATGATTTAGAGGATACATTTAAGGCATATTTTATATAAGTGAAAAAGCCCTAAGCTGGTCCCTAATCATCAAAACAACCAAAAGAGACAAAGAAAGCCTTTTGAAATCTGAAAAAAATCAGCCAAAAAAAATTTAATCCAAAGTTCTGCAAGTTGACTGATTATTTGTTGACCAATTTCATTCTATCTTCACATAGTTAGGGGACAGGTATGCACTCTCCATGATGTAGAGGTTACAACAAAATCTTCACATAGTTAGGGGACAGGTATGCACTCTCCATGATGTAGAGGTTACAACAAAATCTTCACATAGTTAGGGGACAGGTATGCACTCTCCATGATGTAGAGGTTACAACAAAATCTTCACATAGTTAGGGGACAGGTATGCACTCTCCATGATGTAGAGGTTACAACAAAATCTTCACATAGTTAGGGGACAGGTATGCACTCTCCATGATGTAGAGGTTACAACAAAATCACATAAAAAACAAAGCAGGAAAAGAAAAAGAAAATAATAATTTCCCTGGAAAAAAAATATTGTTTGGAGATTGGTGAAAGTAACAGATATTAACATTGGGCAATGTATTTGATATACAACAAAATAGATCATAATAACATACTTACTCATTATTATTTGTTATGTATTACTCAGCAATGCTATAAAGGCACCAGCTGCATATCCACTTTGTGGATACTTCTTAATATTCTTCTTCTTTGTGCATTGGGCAGGTGTTTGCTGCATTATCTCTCGGTTCCAGTTAAAAGCAGCTGTCCTTATTAACAATACGTTCTTCTTTTTAAAAAATTGTCTCAGTCAATTTCTGAAAATATTTTGATGAAAGTTTCACAATGCTGAAGCCGATTCGACAGACGATGCTACAGCCCTCCCTCCCTCCCTCAACATTACTCCTCCCACAATACTACGCACAGTGCAGGCTCGTTATTCCATCCCTGGTTGTCTAAATGTTGGGCACCATTCCTGCACTCCATCCTTATACCCCTTCCAAGTGCTATATGGTCATACTGTACTTGCTTAGCGGTTTTTCTCTTGATAATTACGATTGATGATGGTCATTTAAAAAAAAAATTGCCAATTTTGGTGTCAGAGGTTGAATTGTCAGTTCCCACAGTCATGCTCAAATAAATACAGTGCAGTAGTATAGTATTTTGAAAGATGAGTTAAACTAAAAATATATAAAGTACGTAGCATAGCAGAAATAATGTTATTTTGCAGGCGATGCTTCATGAAATACACCAATGAAGTAGATGCAAAGAAGACAAAGAACAAACTGTGTAAAATTCAATTAGACGGGATCAAACCACACGTTAATTCACCCTTCCGACTCCGGTATGTAGACGTGGACCACATGTTACTATTCATAACAGTTGCCCGGATATGCTAGTGTTTGTGATTCATGATTTCTAGTAGGAAAAATGTGCCTGAGTAACGTTTAATTATTGTGGCACTTTAAAACTATGTACTGATGCTTTTGGCCACCACCACCACCTCATTTGTTCCTTTAGTATAAAGATTATATGATCTCATTATGGGAGGAGTCCCTTCGGGTCCTTTAGCTATCCAGGCTGATACGGATGTATTAGATTTGGGCATCAGTGTAATTACCCAAGTGTAGTTACTGGATGAGAGCTACACTCGTGGTGTCCCATCTTCCCAGTACTTTTTTGTCGTATAACACTTTGAAACTACTGACGGTTTTGGCCTCTATGACCTTCCCACTGAGCTTGTTTCAACCGTCTACCACTGGTTTGCTAAAGAAAAATTTATAATGTTTTTCCGGCACCTCTGCTTTCTTAGCTTGAATCTGTGTCCTCTTGTACGTGATGTTGCTGGTTTCCAGAATTCTTCCTTATCAATGTGGTCGATTCCTGTTAGAATTTTGTATGTAGTGATAATGCGAACAAGCTTGAATGGTCCTCAAGCAGATATACAACTGAAAACTCCACACCCCAGAAGTGACTCGAACCCAGATCACCAGGAGCTCAATGCAACTGTATACATGGTACCTTAACCACTCGACCATCAGTGACCATACAAAAGATGATGATAGCTATATACAGGGGGTACCTTGGTTTAAGAATTTAATCCGTTCCTGGAGACAGCTTGTAACCCGAAAATCCGTAAACCGAAGTTAATTTCCCCATATAAAAATAATGGGAAATGAAGTAATCCATTCTTAACTACCCAAAAACTTCACTTCAAACTAAATTTTATACCTAATTCATCCAAATCTACACTACAAAGTTATGTTCAAGTTATTATTTACCCTTGCTGATGACTCCTGTTGGTGTACGGAAGATGGTGAGGAGGGGGGAGAAGGAGAGGTGTTATTGTTTGGAAGGGGAGTCCCCTTCCATTATAACATCAGGCAGTGAAGATTTCTCTGGAGTGCACTCTCTGGCACGTTTTGCCTGCATACTACTAGGTCCTGGTTGTGGCTCTCTGCTTGTTTTTCTCATAACGAAATGATCCGAGGTCAGAAACGAATTGAGGAGGGTCAGAAAGAGGACCACTCTTTCTAGGGAACGCAGACGACTGTACAGAAGGAAAAAAATAACTAAAATGCTTGGGCAGATACGACTATCACAAGCAAGGAAAATAAACCTAAACAGGGAGATCAAAGAAATAGAACAAACGTTGAAGCGATAATACGAGGCTGAGGAAATGGAATTGGAACAGAAAGCTATACAAGAGATAAAGAAAAATCCAAAATATTTTTTCACATACGCAAAATCAAAATCAAAAACCTCCACCAGCATTGGACCTTTAATTACAACTGAAGATACATGCACAGAGGACAACAAAGAAATTAGTGAAATTCTATAAAGTTAGTATGAGGCTATGTTTAGCACACCAATAAACAGCATGAAAGTTGATGACCCAGACAGCTTCTTTATGAATGACATTCAAGCTGCAGATAATATAACGGATATTAACACGAACTCGGAACACTTTGAAAGAGAAATTGACAATATGCCCATGCACTCAGCTCTTGGGCCTGACTCATGGATTTCAATATTCATAAAGAAATGTAAAGTACCAGTAGCGCGAGCACTCGGCGTAATATGAAGAAAGAGCCTAGATACAGGGGCACTTAAATCTGCAGATATAGCTCCTTTGCACAAGGAGGGGAGTAAAGCCTTGGCAAAATATTATAGGCCAGTTGCACTAACATCACACAATAAAAGTTTTTGAAAGAGTGATTAGAAATCAAATTTCTAGTGTTATGGAAAATAATGAGTTACACAACCCAGGACAACATGGATTTAGAGCGGGAAGATCCTGTCTGTTACAGTTACTCAATCACTATGACAGTTACAGAAGCTCTAGAAGAAAAGCAAAATGCAGATGTAGTATACACAGACTTTGCAAAGGCATTCGACAAATGTGATCGTGGAGTGATTGCACACAAAATGAGGCCAATGGGAATAACTGGTAAAGTAGGACGCTGAATATACAATTTCCTGTCATACAGAACACAAAGAGCAACAGTCAATCAAATAAAATCAAGTCCAAGTGCAGTTAAAAGCTCTGTACCTCAAGGTACAGTCCTTGCACCACTACTGCTCCTTATTCTCATTTCAGATATAGATAAAAATACAAGTCACAGCTTCGTGTCATCCTTTGCAGACGACACAAAAATCAGCATGAAAATTACCTCTGCTGAAGACATGGAAAAATTACAAGCAGATAACAACAGTTTTCGATTGGGCAGCAGAAATTAACATGTTTCACCCCTTAACTGTGTTGCCTCCAAATATGACACCCCCCGCAGTGCACAGGAAATAAATTCTCTGGAAAAATTATTTTTTCTTTTTAAAGTGTCAGAAACCCTTCCCTCAGTATGGGTATGTAGAAAAAAATTCGAAATTGTACTTGCTTTGGCGGCTATGGGGTCCGTAAGTTGGGGCGTGACGTCATCATTCCATGTTCGCCCGTGACGTACGCTCCCGGGGCCAGTAGGGCGCTCAGGGCGGGGCGCGCGAGTTGCCGTGAATATTTTCGTTCATTTTTTTTTGCACAGTTCCAAATACATTTTATTTGTTTTTACATGCTAATCCTATGTATAGTGAACACGTACACTATATTATGGCAGTAAAACATCCGTACTGTCCGAAGACACTGTGTTACGTGCATGACACTTGTGTACACATATGCAGCACATATTTACAATGTATCATGCTAATTTATGTATATATACAATCTATTTACACACTATACACTGTCACACACTATATACATTCACCATCAACACATTCAGAACACCGCGAGTGAGAGCTGTCACACCCAGCCAGCCCTCCCTCACTCCTCCAACATTGTATTCACCAACTTTGCCCCTCCCATCATACAGTTATTCACACCAATGTTTCATGTTCATTTATGTATATATACAACATATGTACACACTATACACTGTCACACACTATATACAATTACCATCAACACATTCAGAACATCGCGTAGCAGCTGCTTCGTATGGGCCAATAGCAGCTGCTTCGTATGGGCCAATAGCAGCTGCCTCGTATGGGCCAATAGCAGCTGCCTCGTATGGGCCAATAGCAGCTGCCTCGTATGGGCCAATAGCAGCTGCCTCGTATGGGCCAATAGCAGCTGCCTCGTATGGGCCAATAGCAGCTGCCTCGTATGGGCCAATAGCAGCTGCCTCGTATGGGCCAATAGCAGCTGCCTCGTATGGGCCAATAGAAGATGCCTCGTATGGGCCAATAGCAGCTGCCTCGTATGGGCCAATAGAAGATGCCTCGTATGGGCCAATAGAAGCTGCCTCGTATGGACCAATAGCAGCTGCCTCGTATGGGCAGCTGCTGTTGTGGGTGGTTATAGATAATTGGGGGTTATAGATAGGAGCTGCCTCGTATGGTCCAATAGGCCTTCTGCAGTTATTTGTTCTTATGTTTTTATGTTGTGTACCTTGACTTTAGCAAGGCTTTTGATGCAGTGCCACATGAAAGGCTGATTAGGGGGATGGAGGCTCGTGGTATTGGGGGTGCTATGTTGGGTTGGATTGGGGCGTGGCTGTACCAGGGGAAACGGGGAGTTAGTGTGAATGGAGTCGGGTCAGAGTGGGAGGGTGTTGTGGATGGGGAGCCTCAGGGCTCTGTCCTGGGCCCTCTGTTGTTTGTAGTATGTATAAATGATTTGGATTCAGATTTGAGTAGCAACATCTGCGGGTTTGCTGATGATATAGGGGTCGGTAGGGAGGTTGATGCGGGGATGGGGCTCGCTGTCTCTTCGGGTTGATCTGGGTGGTGTTTTGAAGTGGTCGAGGGATTGGCGGATGCAGTTTGGTGCTGATAAGTGTGGAGTTCTGAGGCTGGGTAGTGATGGTGGAGTTGCGGGATATGAGCTGGATGGTGTTGGGATTGCGGGGTCGGATTGCTAGGGGTATCTGAGAGTTATGATTGATGGGAGTTTGGGGCAAAAGGATCGGTGCGTGGGTGTTCGTAGTAAGGTATATGGGACACTGGGATTTGTTGGTCGAAGTGTTGGTGATGGGACACCTGGTGTGGTTCTTCAGCTGTGTCTGGCTCTGGTTGGGCCCTATTTGGATTGTGCAGTTCAGTTTTGGTCGCCGTGCTGTGGGGTGGACGTGGGTTCACTTGAACGTGTCCAGCGTGGGGTGGCTGGGTTGGTTCACCAAATTGGAGATCTTTCATGTGAAGAAAGATTGGCAGGGCTTGGATTGCATTTGCTGGAGGGGCGGGGGGTTGGGGGTGACATGATAGAAGTTTGCGGGTGGATGGGTGGACATAATGGGGGGATATTAATGGGGTGTTGGGGGTATGGAACTAATTAATGGGGGTTGGGGGTATAATGGGATGTTGGGGGTATCAAGAGGGAACGAAGGAGGAGACCAGTAGTAAAAAGACCTCGTCTTAGAAAGTTGTAAAGGACAGGGGCCTTAAGAAGACTTTGATAAAGCCGCCTACAGACGCCCTAAGAACGTCTAATTCATTTGCCGTATTGGAGGACGAGTGCTGTGGTGAGACTGTGGGGAGCGCATCACGTTCCGACGACCGACCCCACTCAGCGAGACGTTCCTCGCGACCTCTGACCGAGGACGAAATTACTCGTAATTTGTTCCCGGATGGTGATGAGTCTGATATAGACGACTCAGACTTTGATCATGACTATACACAGCCCTCAGAGGTGGATACGACCGACGACGAGTGTGAACATGCTGGCTCCACCAGGGCTAGGCCTAGCATCTCGCCCATGCCTCCTCGCCCTCACTCCAACCCAATTTCAGCAAGACCACACAGTTCATGTGCTCCCTTGCAAGATATTGATGTTTTGCTCGACGATTCTGA